AAATAATGATTTCACCAAAGATGACCAACTTGGAACGTTTCTTAGATGCAATTTAGAAAAAAAAAGAAAGCAATTGCAGTTGTAAACTACTTAATTGAAAACCCTCCCAAGTAGCACATAAATGGTTGGCCATCAGCTACGTTGTGAGAGGAGAGTGGTTGGCCCACCACCTTTACTAGATTGTGGGCCACCAGGTGCTTCTCCCGCTTACCAGCACCGGCCCACCACCTTCTGGGCCGCTATATTGTCAACACATTAACAAGTGCCTCATTGGTGGTGTACCTACAGCTGAGAAGGGAACTACTGCCCCGTGTACAAGGTATATCGGCTTCACCTCTAATATTCGGAGCTCTGGTGTACCTAGATGAGCACCTTATATTCCCATATGGTCCGCTACTTTATGATACTTGGGGGAAGTCCAAGTTCAAGTTAATTGAAGCACCATATATACGGTGGTGGCCCACTGGGCGATCTCCCATTCCGGCCAGCACTTTTCCCCCTCTGGCAGAAATAAATCAGTGTCGTGCCTGGGCCACTGATAGCCACTACTTTTGTGCTACTAGGTTCTTTGGCTGAATATCCAGAAAATGCATTCTTAATACATCTCCTGAACCATACTGCATTTCATGTTGCGATGAGTGAATTTCTTTGGAACTGGGAACCCACTCCCCTATATTAAGTGTATCCACGACCGAACATGAACGGTAATCCAATTCGATTTTGGGCACACTGAATGAGTTTGGTCGCAATGCAGTCACCTCTCTTCGGAATTGTGCTGTAGATGCCTCCAGAGATTGAGACGTTCCCCATAACCTCCAGTAATCCTTTGATATATGTCTTCAATTTGAACATTTTTATGTCCACCCCTTCGTGAATGTCCACATCTTTGCTCTCTATTCCACCAAAGGGTGACTTCAATTTTTCCAGGCCAAATATTCCTTCTGTTAACGCTTTCATCCATGTAATGATTATATATCCTCACACCCTTTGTGTATGTGTGTTGTGCATTCGTGTGATTATGTGCGGAAGGTTGCGAATGAGTGGATGCGATTGTTGGTGTGGGTCGATGTGTGTGTGTCTGTGTGTTTCAGTGTGTGTGTGTGTGTGTGTGTGTGTGTGTGTGCGTGTGCGTATGTGCATAGGTTTTTAAGTGTTTAATTTGTACCTGACCCTTCTGTGTTTCCACGTGAGCTGCTTTTTTCCATCTCTACGTTTGCGTCTGATGACGATATGAAACATGTCTTGAGTCTTGAGTTTGTAGCCTGCCAGACTCCACATGCAGATTCTCCCAGTCAACCAGTCTACCTCTTCGAATATCGGTCGAAACTCTGTGAGTGTCAACCATACATGGTTTCTGCTTGCCTATAGCTGAGGGGATTCCAACCAGAATGGAGCAACACACACGACTTTCTTTCCTCGGAAGTTTCAACTTTTCGTTTCCTTCCATTACACTGTCTGCAGTGAAACTCCAAAGAATGAACTCCATTCTGGTTCCAACCCAATAATGCTCCTGAGATGCCCTTCCCTTCCAGCAGCAAGACGCACAACTCCAACCTTCAGCTTTCATGCGATGGTTCAGCCGCTGCCCGAGAAAATTTCTTCACAATGCAACTTTGTGCGAAGGCGCGTACCACATTCGAGAATTCAGCCAAAAGAAACTGGAGCTTATATAATAATCAAGTCTTCCTTGATCCGTGTTCCATGTTCGCCTCCAATGATGTTACCATGCATTCCAGAATTTATTCAATAAATATTTTATAAATGTGACTTACTTTTAGACGATGAGAAGGAAACTTCTCATCCTTTCTTTTTTGTATTCAATACTGTAGTGGTTTTCTTTTCTTCCCCAAGTCATTGATACCTCAACTACAGGGTGCCCAATAGAAAACCAAAGGATTGAGGATAAATTAAAATTGAGTTGAGGAGCCATGGGTATTAATGAATCCAATCTAAAATAGAAAAATACATTTTATTATTTACATTCATTTATGAAAACAACAAATCGCAATCAAGCAGCATAAATATCGATGTAAACTTGTCGATAGAATATATCATTTCGTTGTTAAAGGCGTGCTAATTGCAATCCTTTGGTTTTCTGCTGGGCACCCTGTTGTAGAAGATGGTGAGAAAATAAATAGCATCCATTCCAGCAAAAGTATCTCCCACGGAAACTATTTTGAGCTCAGTCTCCAACTTCGGGTGCTTCCTGCTTAGACTTGAGCAATTTTGCATTCGGCTCTTTTTAATGATCTCGCTTTTCATCTTTTTCCACTTGTGCTATCAGGGAGAGGAAAGCCGAAGTTCTTGGTGGGAATGTCGAAGAAGGCAGAGTTTCGCGTAGTCTACCCAGGAAAGAGTGATCGAACAATCTGGAAAGGACACACGACTGAACATTGGAGGATCTAATAATATTATTGTTTTTCTTCAGCCGAATCCAATGAGTTTTGTGTTTGGGACCTGTACAATGAAAGTAAGGTGACCAGATTTCGGTGTCGCGAAAGTGGGACACCCAATGAATACTTCCCCTTGCCTCTCGAAAAAGAATATGAATGTATTGAAGATGAAAATGCGAAACGACGTCGAACACGCGAACATAGAAAATGAAGCGAAAATTTTTCATGAAATGGTGGAAGCAGAATTTAAACAATAAATAATGCAAGCGCATTCGATACTTGAAACAAAGCTAAAGATGAACATACAAGGTGGGCAAAAAGTTTTTGCCCCTGTATAAAAATGTGAATATCTCCTAAACAGTTTGGGCTACAGAGTCGGAAAAAAAAACTGAAAGTTCATTTCATCCTCTTTCTGAAAATGTATGGTATTAGATTCCTACATTCATTTGGAGATGAGTCATGGCCGTTTGAAAAATAAAAAATAAAAAAAAACATACGAAAAAAATTTGAAATTAGTCATGGCCGAAAACGGCCATGACTAATCTCCAAATGATTGTAGGAACCTAAAAACCATACATTTTTAGAAAGAGGATGAAATGGACTTTCCTTCAGTTTTTTTTCGACTCTGTAGCCCAAACCGTTCAGGAGATATTCACATTTTTATACAGGGGCAAAACTTTTGGCCCACCCTGTAGTTAATTCCGGGATTCGGCCAGATTTTTTCTGCGCAGGCATGCAACTGAAAATTCGTTAACCTGTATGTTATTCGTGACTTTCATCCGAGTCGCTGTCCTTCGGTTTTAGAAAAAATGTCAGCAGCGTCACATGTGCAAAACGCTCCCATGACATCTTCACTTTACTGCAACAAGCAGGGGTTTTGGCACATTTTTGGTAAGGTGAAGGCCCGGCCTCCTCAAAAATTTTCAGGAGTCACTTTTCCATGCAATTTGAAAACATCTATTAAGTTATCAAGCACCTGAAAGAAATCTCCGAGAACCATTAAATTCATTCTCAATCGACGCAAAACGAGTCGCGTCCAGTCTCTGAAAGTTGCCTCCTGTCAGGAACCGCGGATGGGAAGTCAAGAGCCTGGAGGCTTCCCCTGACTCAGAGACAACTACGAGGAATAAGGGTAATCAATCATGCAATATGGAAGTAAACGATGGCAGTGAGGTCGGCCTCGCCGTCTGCAGTGGGCACGAACAGGGGCGTGCTAGCATGAACTGGCATGTTTTTTGGCTCGTTGGCTATTCGGGAATCCGAATTCCCATTGTCGATTTATATCTCAGCAGTTGCCATGGATGAAAATTCAAGATATGCTATTCATAATCATGATGTTCCATGATATTCTTTACTTAGCTCCTGAGCAATATGTTTAGGAGAAGTTCTGAAAGTCGCTAGGCAAGAAATTCAACTGTCGTATCATTCTGTCATCGACATTTTCCAAAATCGGGACATTTGGGCGTCCCACTTACTTCATCGGGGGACACCGGGACATGTGGTCTGAAAGTGGGATTGTCCCGCCTAAATCGGGACGTCTGATCACCTTAAGTGAAAGGGACCGGCGATTCAGTTAACACAACTCAGAGAAACGGTCTAGAAGCATGAAAGTTCCATATAATTACTTCATTTGAAATGCTATCTCACTCTCTTGCCAATTGGAGGCAGCTGAAAACAATATTTTCCTGACTTTTACTGCAGACGACAGGATGTCCTACGAACGCAGATTATGCATTGCGCACTCGCAATGTGTCATCGTGCAGGTTTCGCTATCTAGAGAAATTATGCCAAAGCTGCAGTTCTCGGGATATCCGCTAGAGAGCAAACGAGAGAAGAAAATTGGTCAGGCGAAGTAAGAAACCCAGTGGACGAGACAAGTGTCAGGCACCCCAGCTGACTGTGTGGCAACAGCAACGCTGTTCCCGACGACCTTCGAGCGACTCGGGCGTAGGACATCGTTAGGTTTCTGGTTCTTACCGTATTCCGTGAGGGTAAAGCAGCGCCATGAAGGGCCTTTCCGCTTCTAGCATTAAGAAACATCCAGCGGTGAGTCTCCTTTTTCCCTTTTCGAAAGTTCCCCTTTTCTTTTGGAAAGAATTCTAACGTTAGGCCATCTGAAGTTACGTGCCTTTCCAGGCTAGCGGTCTCGAGCCAATCCTACAGTAACATTCATCAGGCACGAGTTCATTTTCCAAATCCTTCGTGCTAGGCACCTAGGCCTGATGCCATTTCTTTCTTCGGTGATACCCCTCTCCCACCCTGAGCCCTAAAAACCCTAATCCCCTACGCAATTTTAAAGGCGATATTAATTCATTTGCCAAGCACTCAAGGCCGTTTCGTGCATATGTACGCAATGAAAAACCGCTGTCTGAAGTTGTTTTTTATCTCAAAGATAACATAAATAGCATTCCATTCTGAATGCACAGTATTAGAAAGGCTTTGCAGTGTATGTTTGTCATATGTTATATGATAATCCATGTCTGATTTTCCCATGACTGCAAGAACGAACAGAGAGGTGCATTATAATAGAGCCAAGCTTAACCAAATGTGGAATTTTAGGCCTCGGTCTAAGTAATTACTTAAATATGTTGCATGAGATATACATAGATGTTGCCTTTGGCTCCATCACAGCTCATCCCCTTGTACGTCTGCATCGGTGCTGGCGTCTGTGGAGCAGGATTGTATCTCGTGCGTCTGGCCACGAAGAGCCCAGACGTGACATGGAACCGAAACAAGAACCCTGAGCCCTGGAATGAGTATACCCACAAGCAGTACAAGGTGAGAGTAACGGCCACAGGCACCAGGACTTTGAGCGAGCCCGTGTGCGTGTCCGGTGCGATTTCAGATCTATGGGATTTGGTTCCCCTTGTTTTCCAAGATTGGCTCATCTTAATGATGTTGGCTGTAGGAAAGATGAATGCTGAATTTCAAAAATTCCAAAAGTTCTTCATTCACAAAAATTTGTGATAAGTAGAATGACACCTGGGATGCATGCAGATAGAATCTTCCATATCTGATGGGAAAATGTCTGGGACCACAACGCAGGCACTCCTGTAGGTCTATTCCACATCTGCATCATTATGCATCCTTGGTGGGATGAGGCTCTTGAGTGAAAACCCAGCAAGTCCATGTGGGGTTTGTGTAGATATAGAAAATGAGAGTTATCAAGATAATGGCAATGGTATTGGAAAATTAGGTTAGAATGACAGAACCTATCCCAGCCTAAAAACACAAGAGTTTTGGGATGCTGAAAGTTATTACATAATTCTAGAAGTATGTAATAACTTTTAGAAAGAAAATAGAAGTCTTGTTTGAAGTGAAAACTTTGGAATGGGGAGAATTCTCTACTGGAAGACTCCGATGAGTTAGGGAAAATTCAGTCTCATTTTATGAGAATGTAACAGTTGATTAAAAGTTTGATACATCTAAATAGCCCTCTCTTGTTTCCTTACAAGAATATTACCAGACTTAATAGTTCATGCTCCAAGGGCAATCTTTACCGGCACAAGATTGGGTAGAAGGCCAGGCCTATTGGAAATTTTGAAGGTTATCATATATAAGTATATAATTTGAACTTTCAAGACCTCTAGTGACTGGCCAACTGTATTTAGTCAAAAAGGCTGCAGGTGAACCGGCTCTGTATACCTTGAAGTTCCTCTCTTGTCTTGATTTGATCTACTAATATTGTTAGTGAGCCAATTGGGTAAAGTTGCCAAGTATTTCTTTTTCTTTTAGTACTTCTGACATTGCCATTGTCACATAATACAGTCTCTTAGTAATTAGTAGCAGTAACATGAAAGTAATTTTGCAGAATTCCTATGAAAACCATGCTTCCACAGGATCAGTGCTGATGGTTGATGATAGCGAAGCAAAAAAACATTGAAACACATCCAATAACCATATGTGTAGAAATAACCATTGATATGGAAAACTGCTGATTCGATGCAGAGCCTTGTGGCGAAAGAAGTGTATGAATTGAAGTCATGCGTTTTATTTTTATAGTTCTGGAAGACCAGGGAGAGCTATGACAGCCCTGCCCCCAAGTACAAGGAGTAGATTCATCGAGGTCTCTGCAACCTGTGACGGGACAAATAACCAGTAGATGCTCTCTGTTCATATCTTAGTATGTATTATTTTATTGACCTCCCTGCTTTTATAATATATTACTTCGAGGAGAGATACTTCAATGCCGAACTGCTGTCGCATTTCCCAATTTGTTTGAGGTGTCTGAAATGGATGTGCAAATAAAGTTATGGCAATGTAACAACAGTTCATACACCCCCCCCCCCCTGTAATTTGGTTGTTGCACTGGCTCTTATGGGTAAGTGTGTTGGCTGTCTTACTTTAAAAAGAGTTGAATGCATTGTTGCTTCTCATGCAAAGCTAGTAATGAAAAAGTTTCCATCCTGCCAATGTTCTATGTGGTCTGTTAGACAAGAAAGTTTCCAACTTTTTTAAGTTGAGGGAAAAAACTGAGAAATTGCGTAAAGTTTCAGAAAAGTTAGGGGTATCATTGTAAAATCTTTAGTTGCTTGCAATGTCATTCCACTGTGCAGGAGGGAGAATTTGTCTGGGTCCAACGAGTTTTCCTTCTCTGGGACTGGATTTTCCACTGCCATTGACTGAGTTCAAAATTGCATGTTTCGAGAATGGATTTGGTTAAATCATACTCATTGCAATCAAATCCAATAAATACTTGGCTATGCTAATCTTTTGATTTTTAAATCCCTTGTCCTAGTTTAGTTTGAAAAGTGGGTGAAATATCCAAAGAAGGGTGGATAAATGCTATGCAACAATCCATCATACAAGGTGGGCTCAAAGTCACTTTCCCCCTGGTTTATTCTTGATTAAGAGGGTCTATATACTGTCCACTGTTGTCCCTGCACAGCTGATGTCGCCTCCAGGTGCTTCGATGTATTTTTTTTTACAACATACTAGGGGTTGTGTCTCCCAATCTGCGAAGAGTGGTGATGAAGGAATCAAACAGGCACAGAAATTGTAAATCAGACATCCAATGATATGCTTCAATTACACCTGAAAACAGAGTGAGGAATTAGTTCTCATCCTGAAGAAATGATAGGCCATTTATGAGGCTGTTGAAATTTTTTTTTTAGCAATTTCATGGAAGGCCAAAACTTGAGCCAAGGGATCCTAATCCTAATCTTGAATTACATGGGTTTTAAGGATGAAGGCAAAACACTCACGAAGGAACGATTTCGATCAGGGTAAAGCTGCCAGGAAAAACAGCAGCTCGTGCCAAGTAGATCCAGTCTCATCTCCAATCTGTTCCAAGGCAAAGTGCTGGTTTCTGAGCTCACACCCGAAACAAGGGAAATTTTTCCTTATCTGCTTCTAAATGTATTTTCCCTTTGCATTTTGTTTTAATGGCTGATAATTGTTGAACTGAAGTGAGGGAATCTTTGGATGTACTATTTTGAGGTATTAATTTATCAGAAGAGTGATTTATGGGTATGTATGATACTTCATTTTATTTTCCTATCGATATTAGAAGTTTTTTTTCTTTACTGCGAAATACTTTATTTCTCTCACCATATAATTTATCATGAATTCGTCATCCTAAGATACTTCTATGATCAGGCTGAGTCACAAATTCATGGGAAAGCTGCTAAAACAGCCGTTCCACGAAAGGTCGTGCATCATCCATCAGGAAGATACCTGCACGTGAAACCTTTCGTGCAACTTGAATTTCTCGCGTCGACCCGAGAGTAAATGAATTTACGACGCGGGACTGCAAGTTCTTCGCAATTGCATCCAAGAGGGAATCTGTGCCGAATGTGCATTGGCATTGGCATTGGCATTGTTCATTCGGCGCACCGGAGCCGCAAAGCGAAGACGACTGAGACCAATTTTTGGCGGAATCGGCGCCCGGTTCTCACGATAATTCCAATTCGACGAACGAAAATCTGCGAGACGCGCTGCTGGTGATGCACTCGTCGAGATGGGATGAACAATCTCCAGTTAATTTTCGCATCGTTAGATGCACATTTGGATCGTGTCGATTGCCGGCAACCCGAAAAAGGAGACGATCGAAGGCGTCGTCAGTGCACCAAGTCCAAAATTCGCAGCCGATCGTTGAACTGCTGAATGGCGATGCACTGATTTGACAGGTTTCGAAAGAAGACCGCAGCGGGCAGAAGCCCCGGCTGTTGGAACGATAACGAAATGCGAATGGCAACACGGCGTGAAAATGAGAAAACAGGTTCCGCCCGTCAGACATCAGAAAGACAGGTTTTTCTCCTGGAACTCCTAAAAAAAAGGAGTTTAGGGATGGCCGAAGTGCGACTCACGAGGCTATTAAGGGGGGCATGGGGAAGTTCTTCGGAGAATACAGTGGTGCGCAATTATTTCACTTTGCCACCTCACTGAGCAAATCGTTTTGTTTTGCTGCTCGATGATGAAACATGCTATGTCAGATCGTTTCGGAACTTTCTGCGTAGTCACAGGGTACGACACGGGCCGATGTCGTTTTTCTTGTGATTTCTTTAAATTAAAAAAATAATAAACAGGCTATCGCCAAGAAGCAACAAGGACGAAGTTGCCGACCGAACCCATGTCAGATGAAGCAACCCTCCACCACTTCGTGTTTTTTCTCCCACGTCCCAGACGCATTGCGATTCCGTTCTCACTCCGGCCCTCTTCGCGCGCCCTATTGCCTCTCGCAGCGGCCGATGACACGCACCCGATCGCCTCCATCTTCGCATGACGTTTACCGATCGGAACGCCCGGGCCGTCGTACGGCCGTGCGTTCCGCGATGCGCACGCCGGATTCGTGCTGCAAGCATTTTCGACCGGCCGTTCCCCGGGGAACCTTCGAACGAGTTCGAGCCGAAACTTTAACCAAACCTCGCGTCGAGGAGACGACTCTCATCGATGCCTTCGAAGAGATCGCGGAACGCCGTGTGACGTCATGCCGTCGGAGGGTCGTTCGGACGAGTCTCGTAGGAATGCACTCGAGACGCATCTCGTTCGACTCTTATCGGTCTCGTCGCGATACCATCGTGCCCGACGCGTCCCAGACGGCACGAAACGTTCCCCGAATGTCGGCCGGTCGGACGTCCGTGGAAAGTGGGCACGCCGCGTCGGGTGTCTGTGCGCTGCCGACGCAGGCTCCATTCTCGTCGATCGTCGGGGAAGAGCGGTCACACGCGGTCGAGCGCGTGCGGTCTGGGAGCGAGCGCGCATCGTTGCGTCGGGTCGGCGTCGGCAGAGTGACGGAACGCGGTCTCCGCCGTGCGAGGTCGCAGAGCGTCCTGGCCGCATCGAGCCGACGTCGTCGGAAACGCTCGCGAGAGGCGACATCTTTCGCGTCGGGACGATGGGCGAAGGCGGAAACGGATTCATCGCATTTCGCGGAGGAAAGCCAAACGATCGCCCGAGCTTCGTGCGGAAGCAAGAGTGCATCCAAAATCGGCACCGTCTCCTCGTGAAACTTTAGACGTTCCAGAAAATGCGCACATCGAGACTCGCATGGCAAAATTGAATCCGTCGGTGAAATCCACCGAGTGATCGTCGATGTTGCCGCGTCTCGATCCAATCATCGGAGGTCTCGACGATTTCGATCGAAAAATCAGCTAGTTAACGGAGCCATACGAATTTGGAACCGTTCGTGATAAATGTAGGACCGTTCTCTTGAATTTTTGCCGTCTGGGACGAATCGTAAGAATCGAACATATACGATCGCAGGAAAGCCGATCGAAACGCGTCGCATGCGATCGAGAAATATAGCGATGGGAATTCCAGGATATTTAACAAACACGTAAGGAACCCAGAACCGGAAATGAAATACGCTCAGTGAAGTACAAATGAGATAAGATACGAATACGTACATGGTATCAGCTGCGTGTGCATATTTACTCTATTCAGTCCCGTTTACCCCCAAGTCCCATCTGAAAGGAAAACAGACGACAGCCCGACCACTCCGGCTGGCGACGGGGGCAGTCGCACGCGTTCCACACGAATTTCGACGATGTGGCGCGATGCGACTTGGGCTGCAGCCGAGAGGGCAAGGCGTTTTCAAGGTCAGGGCAAGGGGGAGGCGAAATCGTTTCAATCTTCAGGAACCAGACGAGTTTTTGGAAAAGGAAACACGAATCTTCGGTAAATCTGATGAAAATGAAGCAAATTGAAATTTATGCAGTGAACGCGAAACGGTGAACGTACGGAAATGAAGCCAGCATTCACGAGAGCTTGACGACAGGTGGCGATACGACCACGCCTTATTTCCACAAGCGCCCGTTCCCACGGTATACCGACGTCCACCGCATGATACTTTGCCTCGAGCAGCAGACAACCGAAGAGCGACGGATGTCTCTCGAGCGCGATAGTGCTAGAAGACGGAAGAAAAGTACTTAACAGTGTTGCCAGTTCCTGGGACCTGCGTTCCTTAATTTTCACATTTTGGGAGAGCCAACTTTCCCGGGACAGCTATGTCGTCTCGACATCACACGTATTAAAAATGGAAAATCTGAAACAAATATATTTTATTAATTCTTAACAAGGTTCGAAAGGGAAGGGAGTACAAGGAAGTGAACGACCTGGAGCAACTGTGGAATCAATATGGCTCTGCGCTTCACTTCGTTGGGTTACTGTTATCCAATACGTATTTCGGAGTTCGGCTGAATCTTGAGTGGAAGGCCTAACATTTCGACTGGATCCAATGCATTTCGACTCTCATTTTATTGGCAGTCTCATTCAGTGGAGTTCTGCCCTTTCCATCGCCTCCTAATTGTTTTCATTTTACCAACTTACGGGGCATATGGTTTTTTTTTTTTTTTCATGAACTTGGCCTAGCCCAGCCGGTGGAAGTTGCCATTTGAAGCGCTGCAGCCTGCCCTAGGGAGTGTCGAAGTTGAGTGAAAGAAAGATGTGTTTTAGTTTTGGAAAAAATTATATTCCACGTTTTGCATCTAAAATGGCTTAAATGAGTGAACAGAAGTCATCCTGTACAATGGAGTTTATCAATTCCTTTGAAAAGGCTCATTGTGTGACCCTAAGCTCTAGACCTTGTCTTGTCCTGTTCTCATGCTGTTTGTTTCCCTCCTTCAGGTGGAATTCTCATTTGCTTTGGAGCCAACGAGGCTTCATTTTATCTGTTCCCGTGAATGCCTAGGTCTCCTTAAAATATGGCTATGGTCTTGCCAGAGGGATGCCACCTTGTGCTTTTTTATTAAAGAGACTAATCCAAAAAGAAACAAGCTATTTCAGTTCTCATGGCTGATGATGAAGAAGCCCGATTTCAGGCAGACCTACGAAAAGCAATCGCACTGAGCCTTGAAACAGAGGAGAAGGAGCGGCACAATAAAGGAAAGAGTGTGGAAACCCCAAATACTCTCGGTGCCATACCGAGGAGGAGTTCGTACGCTCATCAAGACGAAGCCGAGGGAGTGATCGTCAAGTTACGACCCAAAGATTGTCAGAGGTCAGTTTCAGATGGAGACAAGCCTGTTGTCCCTCCAGTCTTAGCTCCACCGCCGCAACAAAATAAACGAAGGAATCAGCAACAAAAGGACATAGATCTGATATCATTCTCTGCTTTCGATTCCATCGATATCCCCGAGTCTGAGATCCCAAACCCAAAGCCATCCCATCTATCATTGCAGCTTCCAACAGGTTTACCATCCCAATGCTTCTCTGATGGTGGCCAGGCACTCTCTGCATCTCCTGTTGTTTCTGGTTACCAGTTTTTTCCCCAGAAACCCCTGGGCTCACCTGCTGTGACTCATCAACCAATTGTGTCCCCAATGCCCCCTTGCCTATCTGGTGCCGATAAATATGCACCCCTTTGCCTTCAATCACAATTCTTTCCTCAACGGCAAGCCATCACCAATTCGGGGCATTGGGATGTATTCAAAGTAATAGGAAAGCAGTCCAACGAAAATTTGATCGATCTAGCACCTGATAACATTCATCAGATTCAGAAACTAGAAGACAGCTGCAGGAAGAGTGTCTTGGAAGCCTTTGATCCATTGATTGAGGTTAAGGAAGTTCAAAATGAGCCATCTTCCTCAAATCCAGGAGTTGCTGCAACTTCATCCATGGTAAATGGTGAAATGGACAAAGTGAATGATAGAAGCAGCAGCTTCTATGAAGCTTTTGATCCATTTGAATACATGTACTCCAGCTCACGCAAAGGATCCATCCGTGACTCGACAGATGGGAGGAACAGCGACATGTCCTACAGCAAGGTTGCACTTGTAGAAACTGATAATGGAGAGGAAGAGGGAGCTACTGCCAAAATCCCTCCAAGACCCCCAAAGCCAACAGGCAGGTCATCTCCAGTAGCCAAGTATGCTCAGGTTACAAAAAGGAATAGGGTGTCAGAAGTGCCTGAAAGAGTCGTTGATGCCATTACTCGAAAGAGTGTATCCATGACAAAAGTGATCAAAGAAAGGCCCCTCGGTGTGACTGTTGTCCGTAGGGAAGATTTCACTTGTGACTCTGAGATTAAAATGTTTATGCAGTCGTTGATGACATTGCGCAGTGAGTTTATTTACAGTGATCACTTCACCAATCCTGGACTGATAGTTAGCCCGATGATTGAAGGACAACTGCAGGATGCCGACATGAAAGTTACAGTTCACTGCAATGCTGATGAAGATCATCCAGTGAGTTTCAAAGTTAATCCCAGTACAACTGTTGAACAAATCATTATGCAAGTATACTGTGAACTGAAGCTGCCTGGTGAGCCTGGTGATTATGTTCTGAAAGTCTTTGGACATCCTGAGTATCTTGCACCTGAGTCGCTCATTTGTGAGTATGAATATGTCCATGAGTGCTTGAAATTTGATCGTGACATCAAGTTGCGTTTGGTGCATTCTGACACGGTCAAGACACCATTTGCTCGTGTGCAAGAAGATGATGAACGGGCTGCAGAAATCCATGTAGCAGATATCCTTCCATATGGATATGGGGAGGGCATTAGTTACCAATCACTCTCAATCATACTAGAAACATATGAGTTGGAGATGACTAGGTTCAAATCAGCACTTGATGCTGGAGAAGCACATGCAAAATTTGAGCCTTTGGTCCAAGCAGTCAAAGCACTCTGTGCTCTTTTGGGACAGATAGAAACTCTGGAAGTGAGCAATGCAATCCACATGCTCATGAATGCATGTGGTCGGGGGGAGGATTCTTCATTCCCTCATATCTTGGAGGACAAGGGTGATTTTTGTGTTGTGAAGTTCCCTGTTTCTGATCGTAGTCCACGCAGTTCTATTGACACCGCCTTCATTGCTCTCAATCACTTACATTCTGCCATCAGGAATCTGCTTGAGCTTTACATGAGGTGTCACAGAGTGGACTTCGACCTCCCAACAAGTCCCAGTGTCAACCAGAATCTCAAGGACATGTGCGAGCTGGTCGACACCATGCTCGTTCATGTGTGTACCATCCATAAGATCAATCCCTGTTGGCACTTTCGTGAGTATAAAGTGGCTTGTGAAATCTTCCATGGGACAACACCAATAGTCCTACCCTCTCAGACACAACATGTCACACCCAGCAAGAGCCTTTATGAGCGATTGGTCTTTGATGAATGGTTGGTGTTTGACCTGGTCCTGTGCACTTTACCGAGAGAGTCTCGGCTTGTCTTCACCCTTCTGGGATATTCAGATGAACAAGAGGGAGGCACACCCGGTTCTGTGGAGATCGCCTGGTGTGCCATTCAGATGTTTAATCAAAGTGGAAGAATGCGGGAAGGTAGCTTCATGCTGCCTTTGTGGCAGCTGGAAGCCGACAAGCGACTTGGGCCAGCTCCCTCCCTCTATACTCGGCAGTCAGGTGACCAGAGCACCTTCATGATCATTGAGATCCCTGATGTTGGAGGGAAAGTGTATTTCCCTAAACCCCTCAAGGTGAATGCACAGGAACGAAAGCGAGAATTCTCCACTCTTGATTCCAACACTCAGGAATTTCTCATGGATTTAGTGGAGAAAGATATCTTTGTGAAGCATCCCATAGAGCATCAGGAGATTTTGTGGGAAAGGCGCCACTTCCTTTATCGATTCCCCAAAGCCTTGCCCAAAGTACTTTTGGCTGCACACAGTTGGGATTGGGCTTCCCTCGCTGATCTGCATGCTCTAGTCAAGGAGTGGACACCTATGGAGCCAGTTGAAGCTCTCAAGCTCCTCCTGCCTTGCTTTCCTGATCAGGTATCAAATAATTGTTATCATGATTGCTTACTACTATACTCTGTATCAGGGTTGGATTATTTAAATCATGATTTAGGTTGATTAAGCGATTCTTTTAAAAATAATTTGATTTCAATAAACATACCCATATTGGATCTTTGTTTTTTGCTACTATTTTTCAATATAACTTGTGATGGCTTTGAAGTGTCAAATTCTATATTTATACATGTTATAAGAATCAGGTATCTGTTATATTTCATAGTGAAAATTAGCTGTTACTCATTTCCCTTGTGCCAAGGTATCATAACATTCAATATGCTACCATATCCTGACCGAACAAAAATTTAGGATTGTACTTTTTTATTTTGTTTTTGTTACCTTCAACTACCCCCTCATCAAAAGGTACAGTAATTTTTTTGTTGTAATATAATGTATGATGGCATTTCCAAAATTCCATTTAGGTAACCCATCATACCAGGATAGCATTCTCAGCCCTGAAAGAGATGAGGAATCTCTGTTCAATTGTTAATTTTTTTGTTTAGGTGTACTCTTTTCTATATCTAGAATTCTCACCTCACTATCTGGGTTATCCTTGTTTATGAGTTTCTTTATTTTATTATTTCTATGAAGATCTAAACTTCTTTCAAATACTTTTATATTTCAATGCTTGTTTCACAGTTCTTAAGGTAGAAGGCGAGAGTGTCCTGTTCCTCAGGCAAGGTCATGGAAATATTAAATCACTATCTCACCTACAAAGACACATGCAGAGTTTCCAAATTTGGGTGTCTCTAGCATTATTCCTACTCCTGCAGTAAATATTATGTTTTTAAATTAATATTCTTTTATTATGGGGCCAGGAGTGATTAAGAGAGCCTGACTTAAAAACAGGTGGGACTGGGTCTTGTAGCAGCATAAATGGGAAAGTCTGAGACCAATCACAGAAAAGGCAACAGAATCTGCCAAAGACCAAATGCATGGCAGATGGAGGAGCTGGGTAGTTGTAAATACATAAAGTGCATGTACATATTGTCTGCTTGGCCCCAATGCATGCCTAAGCACTGGATAATAAAGAAAATACTAAGGAAAGAGTATAGAAAATTTCAATGAAGACTAATTAATTGGGAAAAAAAATAATTTAGCCAACGCTGCTGTTTATTGCTTTTATCTCTGTCCTTTGAATAGGTGGTTCGTGAGACAGCTGTTCGTTGGATTCAAGATATTGGAAGTGATGAATTGTGTGAATATCTTCCTCAACTAGTCCAGGCCCTGAAACATGAGACATATTTGTTGAATCCCTTGTCTTCATTTCTCATGGAACGAGCTCTGATGTCGCCAACACTTGCTCACCGTCTCTATTGGCTTCTAATGACTTCCCATCCTCAGGGTGAATGCGAGACTCCACTTGACACTCGCTTTTATCCACACCTGAAGTTGATGGCAAACACCCTTGCTCATCTGTGTGGGGAGTCACTGAGTCAGCTCTTCAGCAAGCAAGAACGGCTAGTTCAACACCTGAATGAAGCTGCTGCCCATCTCAAAGCCAGCAAGGATTCCTTGAGGTTATCTGTTCTTGCACGAGAAATGGAAGGCCTTCATCATTGGCTTTCAAATTCTCCTACATGTATGGGTCTTTTTTTTTTATATAAATTTATTCTTCCTGTTTTTGTTGGGGCATCATTGGGTTATACATTTTCTTCCTTTCTTTTCATAGCTCTTCCTCTTCGGCTGAGTCATATTGCCCGAGGGGTGGACGTAAAACACTGTTCATACTTCCCATCATTCACACTGCCCTTAAAGGTGATATTCCAAGGAGAAGACTCTATAGACCGTGCTCTCCATCACACCATCTACAAGGTGGGAGATGACCTGCGCCAGGACATCCTCACCATGCAGATTGTGCGCATCATGGATAGACTTTGGCTTCGGAACGGCCTGGACTTGAAGATCGTCCATTTTCAGTGTGTTGCCACTGGGGATAGGTCCGGGTTCGTGGAGATGGTCACAGATGCAGAGACGCTTCGCAAGATCCAAGCTGAGCATGGTCTCACTGGAGCCTTCAAGGACCGACCGATCGCCGAATGGCTCGGCAAACACAATCCATCGCCTCTGGAATACGAGCATGCGGTGGAGAACTTCACAGCATCGTGTGCTGGCTACAGTGTTGCAACCTACGTGTTGGGAATCTGTGATCGACACAATGACAACATCATGCTCAAAACTTCTGGACACCTCTTCCACATTGACTTTGGGAAGTTTCTTGGAGATGCTCAAATGTTTGGGAATATTAAACGGGACCGTGTCCCTTTTGTCTTGACCTCTGACATGGTCTATGTGATCAATGGCACTGACAAACCCACCGACAAGTTCCAGAAATTTGTTGACTATTGCTGTGATGCGTATAACATCCTCCGTGCCCATGCAGACGTTTTCCAGAACCTTTTTGCCCTGATGGCATCATCTGGCATCCCTGGAGTCACCATGGATGCAGTGAAGTATGTGCAAAAGATGCTCGCTCCAGAGAAGTCAAATGCCGACGCAGCCAACATGTTCACCCGCATGATTGAGGACTCTGTCAAGTCCTGGTTCACCCAGGTTAACTTCTTCCTGCACAGCCTGGCGCAGCTGCGATTCTCAGATACGCAAGATGACCGATTGACCCTCAGTTTCATCCCACAAACTTACACTAAGGAAACAGATGGTAGAATTCTATCGGCTACAATCTATGGATACCAGAAACACTACACTGGGGGAAAGCAATATGTATACATCGTGAGAATAGCACGGGAAAACACTCCAGAACCAACGTACTTATTCCGTTCCTACAAAGAGTTCGTGGAGCTCTATGCAAAATTGTGTGACATGTTCCCATGTCTGAAGCTGGAATCTCCCCGAGACCTGACCCTGGGTCGTTCGTCAGTGAAGGAGGTGGCTGAGCGACGCAAGTACCTCCTGCAGAGGTTCCTCACCTCTCTCTTCTCGCTGGCAGAGGAAGTGTGCCACTGTGATCTCGTCTACACGTTCTTCCACCCTCTGTTGCGGGACCAGAAGGATGCAAACATCCACAAGGAAAAACTGAAGGAGACTAAGACCCATGTTAGGCGGTCAAGCGTTGGCCACATCAGGGGTGAGCTCAAACTGTCCATCGTATACCGTCGGGATGAACTCGTGGTCATGGTCCATCATGCTAGGAACCTCGCTCTTCCAAACGGAATGGAACCTTCCACCTACGTCAAAGTCTATCTCTTGCCCGATCACAAGAAGTTGACCAAACGGAAGACACGCATCGCGCGGCGAAACCGGAACCCCACGTTCAAGGAACCCCTCGTGTATCGCATGCCTCTGGATACGGTTCGATACCGCACCCTTCAGGCTTCCGTCTATCACTACGACAGCCTGCAGGAAAACGAGTTCCTGGGCGCTGTGAACATACCGTTATCAAGCTGCAATTTGAGCGAGGAAACCACCAGATGGTTTCCGCTCGGCCATTACCATGGTTGATCCGAACTGTGATTGTGTCGAGTGGGAAATTGAAGGAACACTAGAGAGTATTTTCCAGAAATCCCATAGGCCTAGATATTTTAGCGACCAAAAGTTGGCATGCGAATGCGTACATATCTCCCTGGCTTCCTTTTCGCCTCCTTGTTTTATTTTATTTTTATTTTTTTTTTTGTTCTTATGGTTGAGCAGGAGTGTATTTCACTGCAATTTTTCTTTCACAGTCATCTTAGGATAAAGGCTTTATGAATTGTGATAGTAGTGTATTTCCTAATACAGGCCTGTTAATGAAGTTTCTACTTTCATCTGCCTGTAAGAGCAATTTGATGCCTTAGTACTTTTGTTCTTTTTCTTTCTTTTTCTTTCGTGATCATTCCGATTATTGATAGGCTTCAAGAGAAACAGTATATTTATGGAACCCATTTGTAGTGTAGGATCTAATAAAGAGATGACAATTCTTCTGTCAACTGTGTTTTGCATTTTCCTTTTGCGTGTTTTAGATGTGACGCCAAAGCAGATCAAAAGAGAAAACTCCTGTATGGAACAATCTACTCCATGATCGGTTATAAAGCGAATCACCTTAACATTGCGATGCGTCGTGAATCTTCGATGCATTCCTCAATTTTTCCTGTTGTTCTTATCTTCTGTGTAATCTCTACTCCCATGCACATTCTTCAAGTGATAATCGGAACAGTAGAATTTATTTGTCTCCCTTCATTCCTCTGGTACCGGTATTAAATTTTGCATTTATATTTGTTTTTTTTTGCATTTGTTTGCACTCAATGGTTTGTGAACATTCGGACGTTCAGAAAGGGTCAATTCCCCTTTCCGGCCTCAACTAGAACGAAGGACGTGGAAAAAAATTTTTCCCACAATATAAATATGTATCTCGCCCATGTCGAGGTCAAGTGCCAGTATCAGATATGCCTCACTATTGTGGGCGTTCCTGACGTGTCCGTATGTAGGTGCTGTTAATTAAAACCTGACTCCTATTAAGGTAGTACAGGCGGAATCCGTAATGAAACACGAGATGGTTCAACAACAGGAACAAGGGTATATTAACAATGTAAAGACAACTGACCAGAGAGAGAAGTAAGGGTCCACCAGGGTGACAAGAGAAAAGGACGACCACACGTATATACACGGAGCAACAGAAAAACTGAATCCTGAGTCTCGGGCCGTCGAAGATTTTCTTCTCCTTCAGGGTAGGGAGAAGTCTCTTGGTGGCAGGTGGAGGGGAGGCGGTGACTCCTCCCCCTCATATCTTATGGTCTCCATCCGAGGTCCACACTATCAATTTCGGAGCACATGCATTCTAATTCTATTCCATCCTTACAGCGATATTACTCCCTTTTCCGCTTTCTCCACGATGGCATCTATTATCTTCCTATTCACGGAAATTGCAACCTCTGCGTCTTCACCCAACACATTTTCGAATTTCTACCATATTAAACAAAAAGTGATTCTGCAACCCGTGTCTCCCTCGAGACTTATTCAACTTGGACTCGTTCTTAAACTGCATAAACCATGTATACTCCACGTATGTGATACCGGAGAAAGATAAAAGTTAGCAACTTAGGATGGAACCGAATAAGCATCAGGAACTGTTAAGTTCCATTACTAGGAGACATTATTTGTGGTACCAAAGAGCAATTTATATTTCATGCATGACGGATCATTTGAATTAAAAGCAATTAACGATAGGGATCGACAGATGAAATCAATGACAGGAATTTTTCTTACAATAGAAATGCCGAATGGAATGAACAGATGAATGAATGAGCGCGTCAACGTGAACGGAATTTTGTAAGTAAAAGGAAGGAATCCGCCCGAATCAATGACCATTTCACCAGTGGAAGAGAATCGACATGGAATCCATTTCAACGAGTGATGGCGAAGAAAAAGCGTAGGAGTTTCCACAGTTTCGGTTTGAGAGAAGTTCGAGAGAATTAGTTTGAGGGTGAGGAGATAAAGAGATTCGACTCGATAATCCCCTGACCCGAGTGGCTCACGCGTGATCATGCTTTTCTCATTGGCAATCGGAAATGGTTGGCGCCCGGGTCCTCTTCCTTCTCACAGTGGGAGAATTAGCATTTGGAGACGGGAGAATTAGCATTTGGAGCACCGATGATTCAAGCGAGGCGAAGGAAACGTCTGGTTGTGTATCCTACCAGAAAATTTATGAATTTTTAGAAATTACCAAGAAATTAGCTGCACGTTCTGCTCGAATTCTCTCGTATCTGACTGTAAAAAAGCCTCTGCCGTTAAAAAATCACTCGTTGACATGAGGTTTTAAGTGATTCCTGCCGAAAAAAAGGCTTAACAACAGGAAATACGAAAATAACTGTATTTCTCCGGCCTTGATTAACACATAACCCTAACTGTGACTTAGAATTGTCTAACGGATAAAGTTACTCACCAACAATCGGAGACATTGGACGATTTTTCATGTTTTTGTGAATTAAACCTTTTCGAAGAGAATCGCTGGAAGTCCAAAAAAAAGGGGATCAATTGTGAATGAACACGATGCTGCGTCATGGCATGTTGCCCGAATATCAAGACGCAGTGGACCTCAGATGGAGTTCCTAAGTTTTCATGACATTTAATCATAAAAAGCAATATACCATTGCAGTGAATGGAGGGGTTACAAAGATCTGTTTGATCGAGATTTCAATTGCATGAGGTGGAAGATTGCAGCGCTCTTCTTCCAATCAGACTTCATATTGATATCGTTTTGCTTACTTTGTCGGAAAAAAATAATAAAATAATAATAATAATAAGTAATTAATAAATATATTATATAATATATATATATATAATAATGTTGAGTCCTAGTTTAATAAAGAACGGCTTATTAAGCGATTACCTGGTAGGGCAGTGGCCTGCTTCCCACCAAGGCGCATTGATATTGAAAAGGAAATACCAAAGGTGCCTGTCCCACCCAAACCAATCTAGGCAATGGGGGAATCCATCCCACTACAATTAAAAATTCCTTAGATACGAAGCATCCTGTTTTATGCCCATTGCATGGGCTGGTGTACGCAGATGAGTCCACTTCGTACTTAAATAATAATAATAATAATAATANATCTCTGTCAGGTTTTGGTTCGGGAGCGGGGTTCCTTCCCCCATGCCTAGATCGGTCTGGGTGGGACTGGCACCATTGTGACCATGGGAACGTATTCCCGATGGAGATCTACTCCCCCCTATGCAGGCGGGCTTTAATATGCATTCTATTATTATTATTATTATTATTATTATTATTTAAGTACGAAGTGGACTCATCTGCGTACACCAGCCCATGCAATGGGCATAAAACAGGATGCTTCGTATCTAAGGAATTTTTAATTGTAGTGGGATGGATTCCCCCATTGCCTAGATTGGTTTGGGTGGGACAGGCACCTTTGGTATTTCCTTTTCAATATATATATAATATATATATATATATACTAATATATTATAATAAATATATTACAATATTTAGTGCTTTTGATATTGCTGTGACTTCAACTAAAAAACTGTCCTCCAATGGTGTCCTTAAATGACGTGACTGCAATCTCAGCGAATCACGTTACAGTGATCAGAAATTGTGGGTTTGTCTAAGAAGACAGGCAAGGTCTTCCATTTCCCAGCTTAATTTCCGGACGTGTAAAGGTCAATGCCATTCCGTTCAATTTAATCCCATTCCGGCCCATTTTCTCCTGCCATTCTGCCCCCCTATGCCCCCCCCCCCCCTCCTCCCCTTCTTCCTGACGGACACGGAAATTTAGAGTAAGGAAGGAATCCATGAATATTGCCTTCCAGATCGATCGCTTCTCGTTCTCGTCTTTTCTTCTTCCTGCATCCGTGAGGGGAAAAATCGTCTTGCGTGCCGAGATGAGACCGATCGTTCACGCAAGTATGTAAGTAAAAGTTGAGAGTACTTGAAGAATCATTCAAGATATCGATACAAAATACGGAGATTAGAGGCGGAAACAGATATTTGTATATTTCGAATGCATTTTCTTCGAAAATATTTTTCAGAAATTTTTTTTTCTATTTCCAATTTTCATGGAAAACTTAGGCTCCAGTATGATGCCATCTTCACTTAATGTTTGATTTTTTAAATATAAAATTTGATCAAACATGGGAACTAAAAAAAATGCACCTCGGAGTTGTCAGTGACAAAGCAGAACATTGGAAATTACTTGAATGCATGCCCATCGAAAAATATTCGAGATATGAATGAAAGATGCCTTCATTTAAAAAAATGTATTATCGATACAGATACAGATTCGTATCCGTTTTCGATGAACGCGAACTTGATGTAGCAAGCAAGGAAGCTATATTGGGCGTAGGTTGGAATCCCACTAGGGGGCCGACGTGAAACGCGTGCGTGAGTTTTACTGGCGCTCTCAGGATTCCTGGAGGAGAAGGCTTAGGTTTTCGTTGCTGTTTTGCGCCCTTGTTGAAGGCCTTCAGGCTGTCGAGTTTGGATCGAAGCATGGGTGAGCCTTCTTTCATCTTCGAAGTTTCCTCTAGCAGAAATACTGCACGAAGTGTTTCTTTTCCTTCGTTATTTTCATTTCATGGAATGAGGCTCCCAATTGAGTTCAGAATTGCCAGGAGCCTCCATGGGCTGGCTTATCTGTTTCAACGAATGCATCCAGGAATGCCAGTGTCTTCCCCTAAGTTGTCTGTGGAGTACGATCGGGTACTCCAAGGGAAGTACTGGTGACTCGTTCCAGCGGTATCGGGGAGTGACTCACTCTATCGGCTGCTTGGGTCGCCATCTCGCTTCATCTTTGGGAACCTTCATTGCTCGATGAGCTGAACCAGATGGCTCGGCCGCTCTTGGGACGAATCCGTCTACTTAGTGCCAATTTGGTGTGGCTGCCAAGTGCCTATGAGGTGTGGGCGCATCGTGCCAATGTCGTGGCTGCGTGATCAGCCTACTGTGATGTTGGCCCAAGCTGTCTCACTCGCAGCCAACGTGGGTCCTACGTAGTTTGCTGATTAAGGTCACGACTGATCTGCTGTATGGCGAAAGTAACTCGCTACTGTAATCGGATTACTGTCTGCAGCAACGCATTACGGGTACGAGTTATTTTTGTCCGGAATCTCTGGAATCTGGAAAGGAATCTTTCCTTGTAATCAGTTTTTTTTTTTCCTCCGGAAAAAGTAACGAGATTACATTCTTTCGTGCTAATTTTTCTTCCACTAAAAATTTTTTGTACAATTTTTTCCTTATTCATGGAAATTTATATTCGATGGCCAAAGATGTTACGCGTGAAAACGGTAACCTACCATCGCATTTATATTGGAAACTGGAGCGTATAACTAACTACTCCGGGGAAATTTGCTCCATTTTAGGAGGGCAAAAGTGGAGCAAAAGGTTTCAGGTTCTTAACGTCTTGCGGCCTCCACGCTCCCCTTTCTACCCCCCCCCTTCACTCCCCTTAATTTTCCTCCCCTCGTGGTCCCTTTGGAGGAAGCAGAGAAGGTGTCACTTATTTTTACTCACGGCATTCCCTCCTGGAGCTCCACAAATGTTCTCGTTTCCTCCTCTTTCTAACAGGAGAAGAAAGGGAGTGGTCCAGATCGAGAACCTTCTATGGCACCACGTCTTTCCGCTTCCCTCGACGACAGTGATAGAGTGTGACAGCCCTATCATGCTGTGAGCTGCTTGTATTTACATCACACACAACCGCTTCACGACGTTTCGATACGATCGGCAGCGATGGCGATGGCGATGGATCTGCCTCGCCGGTGGCACGTTTCTATCGACTTAATCTACCGAGAAGCCAAGGTCGACACGGCCGCCTTCCAGATCGAGCTTTGCACACGTTTCTAATATCTAAAATGTATGGATTCCCAGCGCTGCGTCAATAATTGGGAATCCCATCCGAGCGCACTTTTCCAATCACATTTTCATCTCATCTCCATTCACATCGCGCAAAAAGCCATCCTGTTTACTCTGGCTTCCGTCTCATCGCTGCTGCCAAAGTCTGCGGCTGTCAACAAACGAGCTGGAGAAAAAAAAAAAACACGAGAGCAGGAAATCTGACCGAAAGAGAATGGAAATGCTGCCCTCCTTAAGACGAGATATCTGCTTCGAACAGGCGGCAAACCACGACCCAGAGTGAACGAACCGGAATATCAGGGCAGCGCAGAACCCCCTATAAATCCCCATAAAATTCCTCCATAGAACGAAACCGGCCCTGGACGGGAGCCAAACACCCTGGCCTTGCCGTCGCAGACGTCCTTCATCCGCTTCTGCTTCGCAGTCGGATGCGTGACGTCATCGGAAATCGTCTGTGAGGTTAGACGCATGGTACATTTAGCTAAGTACAATGCAGATCGGGTCGTTAAGTTCCTTCCGTCGATTTTCGTGGGATTTTTCGGTGCTTTGAGGGCTCACGTCGGTAAACAAGCCGGTAAAGAAGCTTTTAGACGTTTGCCTCCTACGACTTACCTCGTTGCGACTTGAATGACGTTGCCACGTGAATGGCATACGTGAATGGCACACACGTGACGGCTAAATATTGCGCGTTTGGCTTCGCAACAAATAATTATAAAATAAGAGAATAAAATTATATATTTTTGAATTGCTACTGGTCTCGTCCTGCCTTTCTTTACACGCTTCATTCGACCTTCCCTTTATTCCATTGTGAAGGCTGCTTCACGATCGCAGACTTTGTAACTCCCCGCTGCTGGTTCATGAATATTTGCTGAAGTTTTGATGAGGGGATCGATAAAGGTGTAGAATGACCCTCGGATCGTCAATGCATCATGCACACGAACATCAGTTGTTAGTGGAATCTTTAGATCGATGCGAGAAATGCGGATCCTATCATGAAGGCCAGCAGGACGGTTCGACGATCCCTGTAAGGACCGTAACGAGTCCCGATTGATAGGACGCATGATGAACGACCCCACGGCCAGGGAATCCATCCAACTCACCGATGAGTCGTGACGGAGTCGATTAGGAATCGAAGACGTATTTCGGCATCACGTGATGAGTCGTGCGCAGGTCCAGGAGATTTTTTTGGCACTTTACCTTGCAGTCGTATATCGCCTGCACCTCATTCCTCCCCGTCTGGCAAGACGGGGAACTCGGCGTGAGTCAATGCTCCTTGTGACTTCCGTGTGCATATTCGACATCCGTGGGCATATTCGACTTCGACAGCGCACGCCGCTCCATGCGGTCATTAGCAATACATGTGGTGACAATTTCCACCTGATTACGGCTTTTTCGCGAGAAGGACCGCCCAAAAATACATTTTAAAGTAAAACGTACATTTTACATGCGGGCTACGAAGGAGCTAGCCATGAAAAATTGAGATTTCAGTCATTAAAGAAAAAAAGTGGTTAGATTTCACGAGTATAATGTACTTAAAAAAATAACTTTAAAAACCAAGGTCAGCGTCAGTAGGGAACTGAAGCGGAGTTCGTGCATATTATACAGGGAGTATTGATGTAGTTGACTCGAAAGAAATGTTTTACCCTAATTTTGCTGATTTTCGTAGCTTTCGAAAACTCTGTTCTCCAGTGAAGTATTACCATCACATCAATTCACCCTAATAAGATTACAGTGATGCTACAAAGTCTGTTTTCGTCTTTCGTCAAATTTTGGTCACCATTGAGGTAGCTGAGTCAAGATTCTGCTATTAACGCGAATGCCACTTCCAGCCATCAGTTCCAGCAACGAGTTGAGGCGGTGGAGAGCAGCCTAGGGGGCGAGGGGCGCAATTGCGCATAAACATAGGGGAGTGGAAGGGGCCAGGCATAGGATGTCAACAAGAGGTGTGCACGGAGTCTCATTAAGAGTTCCGCTCGCACCCGCGGGAGTTGTAGCGTGGGCTATCGTGCGCTGAGAGAACCGCGGTCCTGTGTGCTGTGTGTCTGCTTAAAAAAAAAAATGGCTCCGTCGCGAGACATGCGGGTCACCACGGTCACGTAGGCAGACGTTCAAAACAAAGGAATGGTACTTCATTCACAGTGGTATAGGCCACGAAATATGTCTCTACTAGGCCTCGGTAAGACGTGGGCATACCGTGATTCTTTCATATTCCCAGTGACTTCAGCCTTATGCGTCTTTAAGTTTGAGTATCTGATACCGGAATCCGGTAGGTTTCACACGACCTCAAACGTTAGTACTTTCAGCTTGTGACAGAAACGATCGAATGAATATGACCGCTTCCTCCGTAGGCCTAGGCGATGGCTGGTTAAACTCAACTTTGCGTGAGGCCAATTTGGATGGTTGGGGTCGAGTCACTGGCGGTCGAAATTAAGTCAGTTATTCATTCGGTTCTATTGCTTACTGTAAGGTCAAACGTTCTTGAGTTGAAATTACATGGTTTACATTATTCAGACTTTCCAGTTGTGTGAATCAGGGCCTCACGCAAGGGAATCCTCATGTGGCTGATGCTTGCCCGTGAGGCTGAGTGTATAAACTCATTTTGGAATCAGCACCTCATCTCAAGACAGAGCCTGAGGACTTCAACGCGCTTGAAAAGATTATTCCAACCATGATATTCAGCTGCTTGCTATTTGCATTGTGACATGTGGCGACTGTGATGTGATTTCTTCCATCTCGTTGTGAAATTGATTTGAATACTGAAAACAGCCACCAAAAGCACACTACAAGATGAGGTTATCAGTGAGAGTATTTGGAAGGGCAGCGCAAATGCTGGAATATTACTCCCATTTCAATCCTTCTCCTCTCTCCATGCACCAGTTCATTGAATTTGGTAAGGCATCGTTCCCTATCCGCAGCAGTGTTGCTTCAATTTGGGAACCGTGGACATAATTATTTATGACTGATCTCAGGGAAGAAATCCTCTGAGAGAGCTTCGTTCCTGTTCTTGCGGAAGGAGCTCCCCGTTCGACTGGCCAATATCATGGCTGAGATCCATCTTCTGCCCGAAACGCTTCTGGCGATGCCATCGGTGAAGCATGTCCAGAGCTGGTACATCCGCAGTTTCCAGGAGGTCCTAGACTTCGATACCCTTGACCCTGACCGACCTGGTGTCCTTCCTAAGTAATTTTTTTTTCATTTTTTGTCAGATATCTCCTAATTCTCATGCCTATACTCTCAGTGAAAGGGCCTGGCTGTCTCCATCACCCACCACAGTATATTCAATCCTTTCATGCCCAATGGTTTCATTTAGTGCCACAATTTAAAAAATTTTCCTTGTCTCACGTTTGAACTTTTCTTGAATGTGTTCATGTCATCCTTGCCACTGTCTTTGCAAAGCAATTTGATTCATTTACTATTGTCAGGTCTGTCTGTGTTTGCGTCTAGATTAGCTGAAAAAGGGAAATTTAATGTTTTCGAAAATTTGAAGAGTGAATAATTTTAAGAAATCATTATCCAAGATATATTATATATATTTTTGCAAACAGTATCAGCAGAATTGTTGAGAAGGATTCAATGGAAAATAAGGAGTTGATTGCTTCTATTCAGATGGTATGATTTGATTTACCTAAAATTTGATTTTAATTCAGCTTAAAAAAATTCTGAATGAAGCATGTATTTACTTTCTAAGCCTACAAATCTAATTATAATTTTTCCCACTTGTTTAAAACATAATATGGGCCAAAAAGGATTAAACTCAATAATGTGAAGTTTTTTGGGAACAGTATTGTTATTTGCTGAGTAGACCAGCTGATGATCTTTCATTTGCTATCCAGTTAGGAGAAATTTTGTGAAGGTCTTTCTTACATTATGGGACTTAACCCAGGGGAGGGAGGTTGTCCCTGTCCATTTTGGGGGAAAAAAAAAACTGTCGTTAAAGACTGTTCCTAAGGGGATTTGTTTAGCAGCAAGGCTTTGGAGGACATTACAACTACTCCTTTATTTGTCAACAAGCCATTTTCAGAGTTAAGGGTGTATTATGTCACAAACTGTCATGTGATATAAATCCAACCTTGATGTTAAAACTTGTTTACAGGGAGAAGTCCTATCTTGAGAGAAAATTGAGTCATATCTCTTCTAAGGTCTGCTACTCTAGTGTTCTAACAGATACTGGATGGTTTTGCTAATTGATGTAAAAAGTATAAATGAGATAAGTTGAAGATTCATATGGCTTTGGGAAGTTCTGTATTGGTCAGTGTGACCAACTTTATCAGAAATGTGCCAAGTAGAAATGAGTTATAGCATATTCAAATGTGAAAAATATCAGTTTCATCCAAGCAAACTTCAGTGTGTAACCCATATCTAATACTGGCATGAGTGGAGCTTCTGATGTTCTCTGTGAAGGATAAGTATAATTAATTGTAAAATTTGAAACTAAAAGAATTGGTGAGAAGTTAAAGGGAAAAGAGTGAAAAGCTGAACTTTTTACCTGAACAATTTTTTGCCTTAAAATTACGTAACTACTAGAAAGCCATTGTCTAATACTCTAACTGTAAACATTCAGGTATGATAATGTTCTTTGCCGTTGAATTTTTCCTGAATGTCTTGTCAGTCATATAGGTCTTAAAATATTGTGTATTCAAGAGTAGATCTCACTGGGGATGTCTTTTGGCAGTTACCTTTGCTAAAGAAAGGCTTTGCCCGATTATTTTTTCAGGAGGATGTTGGATATTTTGTTTTCCCAGGGTACATTTCTAGTAATGGTAAGCACCTCAGTATTTCATGCATTTTAAAGGTTTGGTTCAAGTTGTATTTAGGGTGTATGGCTTAAGGCAGTGGTCGGCAACTGGCGGCCCACAGGCTGGACCCAGCCCACGGAAGCCATCCCTCTGGCCCGCAAAGACCCGGATATCGGACATTAAGATCTGACAGTAGACGTTCAGCCACACATTTGAAATGAGACATTTGACTAAATTTTCCTTTTAATGACTCTTGGTTGGTGCACTGGCTTGTGAACGTTCAGCATTCTGCCATCCAGCCTGCTGTGATATTTAGTTGCCGACCACTGGCTTAAGGATTGGTCAGGACCTGGGTGTTTGTTGATGCAGGAGACTACATATTTAAATATTTTAATGCTTGAAATGCATTTCATGGACCACTGCTGGATCAACTCAAGGTCTAGTTGATGCCATGCATAATTGTTTTAGCAATGGACTTCCAGCACATGATGCAATCTTTGGCAAGTAATATGGTCTGAGAGTGGATGCCTTCATGCTTGCAATTGTCAAGGATGAATAGTAGATTTATGATGGGTCTTAGAAATGAGTTCTATAGATTTCCTGATCTAATAAGTTCCCATTAGCAGTCAGGGACTGATCCATTTGCCTCTTTTCTCTGGTTAGAATGAACCAAGATCTATTAATCCTCCAGAGAAGCTCTACTTGTTAATGATCAGGCCAAATTACAGGCTGATATTTTTTATTTTATTCCATGGCAGATTCTGTGAGGCCCTAGCAACGATCCGCAATCGACACACAGACGTCGTACAGACAATGGCCCAGGGTGTAGTTGAACTGAAGGAATCTCACATTGTGGACACACAGACTGAGAACAGTATTCAATATTTCCTTGATCGCTTCTACATGTCTCGGATCTCTATACGGATGCTCATCAATCAACACTGTTAGTTTTCTTTCCTTTTCGAGCATTGATCATAGCTTTTTATAAACCCCATGTATTGAAGTTGGTGTTGAAATCCATAGCCCTGCTGTTTGGAAAAGAGCTGAATGGGAATCGTAGACACATCGGAAGCATAGATCCTTCGTGCAATGTGTTGTCTGTGTTGAAAGATGCCTTTGAGAATGCTCGCTTCCTCTGTGAACAATACTATCTAGGTTCTCCTGATGTGGTTGTGACTGAGCATAATGGTAAGGTGTCATTCAAATGGACTTTATGATTTCACTATGTAGTTGCAACTCGCTGATTTCCCCATTCCTCAACAGCTGTTAACCCTGGACGGGCAATCGAAGTGGTGTATGTGCCATCTCACCTGTATCACATTCTTTTTGAGCTATTCAAGAATGCAATGAGAGCAGTGGTTGAATTCCACGATCCCAAGTCGTCTGCGCCTTACTCCCCAATAAATGTTGTCATTGTCAAAGGGAAGCATGATCTCACCATCAAGGTCAGCTCATGACATTCCATGTATCTCATTATAAAAAAATATAAAAAATTATCTTAAATGATTCTTATTGCCTGCAAGCAGATGTCTGACTTGGGAGGAGGATTTCCCTTGGATAATCTAGAACTTCTGTTTCGCTACATGTACTCCACTGCCCCACAACCCCCCATGCCTGAGTCAGATGGAGCTCCTCTGGCTGGTCAGTAAATTTTTCTGAATAATGAAGGAAGTGGTAGTGCTAGTCATTAGGAGTGAATTTCTCTCTACTCTTGCAGGATATGGTTATGGACTACCCCTTTCTCGTCTGTATGCAAAATACTTTCAAGGAGACTTGAAGATCAGCTCCTATGAGGGATATGGGACAGATGCTGTCGTCTATCTCAAAGTGAGTGCCTCGTTAGTCTGCTTAAATGGCATCACAGTTGGATTTTATTCTGTGCAGCCTCAAATTGCTGTGATTTACAGGCCGTGGAGAGTGAGGCAAACGAGATGCTACCAGTATTCAACAAGGCTTCTTCGCGTCACTATGTACGAGCCCTGCAGGCCTCTGATTGGAGCAACAGCCTCACACCCTCAAAGCCCTTGGGGCAGGTCAGAGCCTTGTAGCTTCTCAGTGATCATTCTCGGTCCACTCTGCGCATGGAAGATGCTCTGTCCCGGTTGACCCAATTCCTTGTCTCATTGTAGCTTATATCATGAGGTCCGGTCAAGTGAGACAGGATGAGTCACTTGGTGTCGGCGACTGCTCTCTGAGCAGCCAAGGACCTAACAGTGCCAAGTCCGATGAAGGATTTCTCGTAGGCTTATACTTTGTAGAAGTAGAAAGGGTCTCAGGTGTTTTCAACTTGGCCTCATAACATCAACAGTATTTTGTCTGTTGATGTTTTGTCATACCTAGCCCGGTCAAGGAAAGTCATATCTGATAGTTAAATTTGATTGACAGAATACAACTGAGTCCTTCTGTTCACCTTGTGACTGCTCAGAAACTTTTTTTGGCACAAAGAGGAAGTGAGTGTTTCCTCTTTCTACTGCTTGAGTCCATTGAAGCCTGGTAGATCTCTCAGGACTTATGATTCAATTCTAGCCCTGTGATGAATTTTGAAAGGACTCATTCATGTGCTTAGATATATTTGTGGAGGTGATGTGCCTGAGATGTGTTTTCTTTGACAATACTCATCCATCATCCTCATTCATTTGTTTTATTCACCATTATCATCATGGTTTCCATAAGAATGTCTGCTTTCCTTATTTTTTTCTGCTGTGGTCTGATGGTGCACATGAGGAAGTGTGAAACTGTTTCTCAGTTGTTCCCATGAAATCCATATCAGACCTGGCACTGTAACTAGTCGGGTCACCCAGTTGTTATCACATTTGTGTGCTGTCATATGCTCGGTGTTGTATCAGAGGGAACTTGATATTTTGTCTGAAATATGCAAGATTAAAGAGTGGACCACAGAAAGGTTCTATTAGTGAAACTTGGGATTATTTTTCACCAATTCAAAAACCCTGCACAAACTGAACCACAGTATGCATCTAATGAGGCACATAAGGTGCAGATCTTTGGCAAGTCTCTCACAGATACCATGTTCTGCTGTACAGACTCTGCAGCCAATTGCAAGTAGACCAAACTTGAATTGACTGCTCATGAATGTCAAGCATCAGGGAGAAGAAGTCATTGAAAGTATCCAGTGTAGATTCATGCACTTCAGATTCCTACTCAAGAACTATGACCTGAACTCAGCTATTCAGCAGTTGATCCCAAGTGGTGAGCCCCAAAAAATTCAGGCTGTCATTGATAACAAAAAGAGAGTTATTGAGAAATGTCAGGATAAGGTGAGATAAAAAAGCTTCAGACCAGACAAGAAATTGAGCTTTCTGGAGTATGGTTAATATACAGCATAGGTTTCCCTTTGTGGACACATTCCAGATTCATTTCTTTATATGACTGCTTGATTGAAGGCAGTGCAGATGAACAGATTGGATGGATGCTCTGATGTTACCTGCATATATTTCAATCCAAAAGAGAAAAAAACCTGAGCACTTCCCAAGTTTGAGTGGGCGTTGCCTTGTCCATACCCATTTACTGCTTGAAATGTTGGTTTGTGGTATTAGTTTTTTTTTTCAGGGGAAAACTCTATCTTTGATTTGTTACAGGAGGTGCAGGCAAGTTTCCATAGCAGTCAAATTAAATGAAAAATACATTGTGTAACTCCTATTTGGATAATTCACTTTTCAACATAGTACCCCTGCTTTTCAATGCAAGACATACAGGGTGTTCACAAAAGAATCATACAGATTTGAACTCCCTTTACAGATTCAAAAATGCAGATATTATTATTCTGTAAAGTGAAATAGTAGGTAATAGTTTTTGTTTTGTCCACTAGGTGTTGTTGTCACCCACAAATTTGCTGTACCGATGTGATTACTCAGTCCGTAACTTAGAATGATTGTGCCCATACAAGCTTTAGTCCAGTGTTCTGCAAGCCACCAGGCTTGCAGAATTGAAATCAATAACTAAAGTGCAGCAAAAACTTTGAACTGTTTATGGAAGAGAACTACCAAGTCGTCAATCAATTTATTATTGAAAAGTGTAGTTTATGGAGATGGGAACTAAAATTGTGTGGTTCTTTTGCGACACCCTGTACTATCTTTTCATCCAATTGTGGTAGCATTGAGTGAATATATCTTTGAGGATATGTTTGAGCCATTGCCAAATCACACTTTCGAGAGCACATTGAGAGGGATAGAAGTGCCAATGAAAGGAATTCTAGAGTCCTCCCTTACAAATTCTTGGCTGAGTCATCAAACTTTACTGCACGGGCCAGAAGAAATGAATGGTTAGACTTCATTGAAAATTGCACTGCACTTAGTTGGAATGTTGAAATTCTGTGGAAGGTGCCATTTGGCCCTGTTCCAAATATTTGGAGTACTACAGTGCTACTATGGAAACTTCTTGACTGCCTCTCATACATGTGGACTCTCACGAAAATTTTGAAAGGGCAACGGCAGGGAAGATGGAAGAGTCCATCGTGCCTGTTGGAGTGACATCATGGTTTAAAATGACATGGACACGTTCATTTTCAACTCTTTTAATACAAAAGGTAGAGGCCAAAGCCAAGGAAGCATTCAAGACGAACTGTTTGATTTTTTCTGATATACTTCGTATTTGTAGAGGATCCCACCTTCGTCCTGTACATCTTCTGGAACATCTTGATCACTGTTCCAGGGCAAAATGAGAAAACCACTCACATCAACAGATTTTTGAGCTTTGCAAATTCTAGGGTATTAGTTAACCCTATGGCTGCAACATTCAACTTTAGCCAAACTGTGCTTCATACCCATTGACTGCAATTTGACCACATCCACATCCAAATTTTTTTGTGCACTTGCTGCAGTGTTTGACCTTAGTCCCTTGATTGTAAGAACACAAAATTTTGTTTGTTCAGACTCTTAATACGTACTAACCTCTGTTCTGGAATTAGACTCAATAATGCACAGCGAAAGGGCTACTAGTCATCCTCGGTACATCCACCAAATATAATTATCGTATTTACTCGAATATAGTGCGCCACCGTGTATAAGACGCACCCCGCTTTTGAGGTCCCAATTCGTGTAAAAAAAAAAAAAAATCCCCCGTGTATACGGCTCACCCCCCCTATTGCGTAGGGAGAAGTCTCGGACAAGGGAAATGATTAAGGGGTAAAGCCGGTCGAATCTCGTTTCTCATCCACTGTCCTGACCTTTATCGACGGGGGGGTCAGCCATCCCTCAGCATCCCTAACGTTCGTTTATTATCCGCGAAAACGGATGGAAACGTACGGCGAAGTCACGCAGCTGCGATTCAGGAAGCGACGGAGCAGGGCATCCGTGCAACAGGTCGTAAGTACCAAGTACTGAGTAAAGCTTCAAACGGAAGCGAACGGAGACCAAGGCGAAACAGAGCCGGGCTCTAAATGATCTCGTGGCCTTCCGCGGGGAAAAAGGGATCGTTCCCGGTAACCGAAAAAGACGCGGCCGAACACGTGACGAGCGAGTCCGCACTCTCGTCGTAAGGAAAGCCACGTGGAAAGCTAAAGCGATCTAGACGCGAACCCGTACGACTGCCAGAGCAAAACGGGATCGAAAATTCATTTTAAAAATTCCCTGCATCACGAGGCGACTCGTGAAGCGCGTCGAATTTTCTCTTCGTCGGAAAACATCAGCTGCGGTTTCGAGAACATTCCGAGTCAAGTCCGTGGATCGACGTAGCCGCTGTTTCATTCTTATTATATTTCCCTTGTTCTGGCTGACCGCAGACACTGTTTCCGCCTCGGTAAGTGACCAATGAGTTATAGGTAAGCTGGAAAAAATTTTTCACGAAAAGGAGAATTTTTCTTCCTCGAGTATAAGACGCACCCCTCATCGAACGCAATAAAATATGTATTTAAAAAAAAAATGCGCCTCATACACGAGTAAATACGGTACTTAGGACATAGGAAATACATATTTTAGACACGATTCCGGGTTTGCCGAGTCGATGTTACTCCGGAAGAAGTAATAAAAAATCGATCGCATCTGAGGCTCGTCGCATGATACCGAACTCGGGTGATCCATAAACACAAACGATCTCGGAATTTCCACGATGCATTGCAAACCGACAAGCACACAACGACGGACTCGCGACTCGAACCGATTCGGAAATATTCGACACGCACTCACCCGATGAGGTCAAACGCCGATGGATCCCAGTCGGGAAAGAACCTGTCACAATCGTACTCCTTGAAGATCCGCGTGAGATACACTCGATGACAGCATGCAGATTGCAAGGTAGCCTGAAAAACGTTCAAAGACCGAGTTGCGTCCCAGAGGGAAGAGCGAGCAGAAGCCAAGCGGAGAAAAAGCGGAACGAACCTCGTACACCTGTTCCCCTCCGATGACCCAGAGGCGATCCAGCGCGTCGGAGAGCGGCGGCCGACTCACCAGATCCAGCACGTCTTCGAGCGAGCGGCACACGCGAACGTCTGGGTCGTCCGTCGACCTGCGAGATGGGAAAGTGAAGGCGTTTTTACGTTTTTTTTTTTTACGTTTTTAACGTTTTTACGGACTCCATGGTGGTGCTGATGATGATGTTGAGACGATCCTTGAGCGGTCGGTTCTTTTCGGGAATGCCGAGCCAGGTGTTGCGTCCCATGATCACGGCATTTCTCTTTCCGGGTTCCGTGGCCGTTTTTGTCATCCGGGCAAAGTAAGCCATCTCCTTCCTTCGGAATCAAAACCCGGTAAAAACTCATCGAACTCTTTGACTTTCTGAGCATACGAGTTATATATTTTTTGAGCATACGATATAACTAGAGACATGGTCATAGAATAAAGAGATTGAGAGGTCCCACGCAGGAATCTAAGAGCAACTTAGCAACTACCAAATGAGACAAAGATTCATTAGATTCTGAAATGGTTCCAAGCCCAGGGCATGCCATCGAGAAGAGCAAGGGGCCTGGGCTGGGCGCACGACACAAAGGAGGGAATCTAGGGAAAAACTTATTTAACGAATGGCAACCAGGCAAGGAATACATTCAGGGAGAAATTTAAAGATGGGATGGAACATCTGAGAGGAAGGCCAGGTCTCAGCACTGGACAGAGATCGACGGAAAATGTTGACCTTGCACAAATGAATGTGCATTAAAAAAAAAATAAGCTGGATATGACAAATTTGCAAACAGAACTCAAAACAAAAACATAATTTGAATGATGGTAGGTCCAGTATTTGACAGGGCAGAGAATGGGTTCACTGGACATACTGTACAGTACTGGTGTTATGTTAGCCAGGACAATCCTGTTCCTGTCTTCCGAGTGGCTGAGCCATTCCAGTAAATTTCCAATCCCAACAGCTAAATCAAATGCAAGTCCCAATGAGTCTTTCAGAATTAAAGTAACAATCACTCCGATTTGCTATATGCTTTTGCACTCGATCGGACTTACTTGAGGGTCCAGGGAAGAGTTCCATTCTTCCCTATGCCTTTGTTTTGGGATATGGCTCCAATGACCAGTAGTTTAGGCCGGGCAGACGAAGACATGTCAAACCCTAGGAGATTCCTTACACCTCTGTAGCACCTATTCAGAACAAGGCTCTTCCATGATATAGGAGAAACTTCATTCCTCATCATTCATGTGTTTTACATATACCCATTTACAATAATTTGAGGGACAGAACTGAACAGGATACAGCCCTTAGACACTCAACTAGAGTGCTCCTGTCTCAATGCCAATGCTACTCATGAAGGAAGCACACATATTACAAACCAAAATAATGCTGTCTTTATTGCACAAAGAACCGGTGCAGTTAGAATCACATCAAGGAGCAGAGAAGAAAGTGAGTACAAGGCCTTCTCATTTTGGGTATAAGGGAGTTGAGAAGGAGACCTCAAATAATCATCAGACCCATGGAGTTTTCTTTGAAAATTTCTTCATTGGTCATCATTCTTAGTTCTTCCTTCCACACTCCCCAGTACACAAAACAACAAGCAGATATGTTTCAGCAGCTGGGCTTGTTTTTCTGCTGCAGGAAACGCTGGACATATTGGATCTGTGCATCATTGAGCCCAAATCGAGAAGCTTCATCCTGGAAGGTCGAGAGACACCCGTACCCGTTGACGTATCCGTTGAGGCGAGCAGCCGCACGAGACCCGATCAGATCGGCTGGATCCAAGTCCAGGGTATTGAGGAGCCATGTATGGCGCTGCAGCAGGTACTTCTGATGGTACCTGATAGTCATAGATGGAGCATGTCAACTCTGGAATAGGGATTTTAAATACAAAATATGAAACAAAGATAGGTTCCTACAGTTCAGCATCAGTAAATTCAATGAGAGGAACAATGGAGGTGGCAATTCGCTTCACTCTCTTTTTCTGCTCTTTCTTCAGGGAGTCCTCAGCTGCTTTCTTCTGCTCCTCGTCTCGATAAAAGATGGCCGACATGTACTGTCGAGACGATGCTTTGGTAGGGTCGTGGTTCTTCCAGAACATGTCCAAGAGGACTTCATATGTTGTCTGATTTGGATCATACTCCACATCCACAGTCTCAGTGTGATCTCCCCTACAAAGAGAACGAGCCGGGTGAAGCCCAGTCCAGTAATGAGCCTCATTCAAACAGCCATAGATAAAGGCAATATAGGAAACATGTACATGGAAAATAATTTTAAATGAAAAAAAGGGGAAGGGGAGGAGGGATACAAGAGAAAATGCTTCAAGTCTTGTAAGAGATGAATGGGGAAGTTTGGACAACTATGCAGGGTATCCAGCTGTTCTTAGGAGGATTTTTAGAATACTTGCAAATATCAAAATTATTTTAAAACATTAACTCTTAATGAAATTAGTCTAAAACCAACTAAATGCTTGGAACTTGAACATGTATGTAAATCCCAGTAAAATTGGTTTTCCAGTAAACGTTTAAAAAGTCTTTCTGCTGATGGAGATGTCTGGATGACTGCTTGAAGACTTTCACATTGAAAATATTATTGCTAAAACTAGTAGGAAGCATTTCCTAAGTGTAAGGTCAGTCCAGGGTACTCACAGTTGGTGATAGGTGGGACCAGCAAGGGAGCCTCCAGCATAACCAACACGGGTGGTGAGGATCCCCGGGGCACTGCCGAACAGTGCCTCGGGGAACCAGAATCAGGCCATTCCGAATGCTGCCCGTTTTGTCTCATTCACTTTGGGCATATTGGCAGGACAAGAGAGTATTCCCTGGGATCTTGCTTGGAAACGGGTTCCGAGCAACAGCAGGGAAAATAATCGCTGGAATAAAGTATATAAATAGCAGGAAATATGCAAGGCAAGTCAAATGACATAATTAACAAATAATGACATTCAATTCCAATGCAGTTTGAAGGAAGGAAGTCAAATATACACATTGGAGAAACAGGCAAAGAAATAGAGGGGAAATAAAAACGTACATGTACATACATGAATGTAGCAGAAATACCCAAGAGATATGACTGCAACAGAATAGCACCAAGGAAGGAAAACTACTAAAGCGATACAACTGCAAGAAACAGTACAAAGCAAGGACAACTGAAGCCATACATCTGTAAAGAAATGTACAAGAGAACTTTTATGCATCTAGAGTAGGGATGCTCAAGCTTTTTCACCTTCCATGCCAAAAGAACTGACTTGTTCTTGTGACTGCTCATCTAAACATTTACTTAAACCTTTCAGATCCTATGTCTGACATAGACAAACTCTGTAGCGTTAAAAATAAAATAGACCACAAAGAGTTAAACTTAGGCATTACCAAGATCAGGGGGAAATATCAAAATTACCTTTACAAACCTTGTTTTAGGAGAAATTTTCAACAATAACCTGGAGGTTAGGATTCATATTCATATTTTCAGTAAATTTGCATCTTGAAATGAGCCAGATGGAATCCTTTCTCAGGTTAGATCCAGCCAACATGCCCTAGTTTGAGCATTTCTGATATAGAGAAGCTTTACACATGTTATGGAGGTCTCAAGCACTGTAAAAGTTTGCTAATATTGTGGGGGGGGGGGGGGGGGGGAAGAAGCAAAAATTAAAAATAGAAGTGCTGTACACAAATTGGCAAAACAATATCTAGTTCACCTATAAATTGCCATATAATAATTGCAATAATTTGTTATTTTAAGTTTACAATGTGAATTTTAACAGAATTACTTTGAGAAATATCCAAGTAAACATGAGATTTACATAAATTGTACCAGTTGTCTTTTGAACAGTGTTGAGTGGTCAGCTGAACAGCAATGTTAAGGAGTGTGTTCTGCTTCCTTGATGAGCTTGACCAAGAATACTTGAAAGGGTAGTTATGCATGGTATGGTGCTTAGGCAATATATTATTACCATACTCATTAATTTCATAATCTCATATGTTGGTTCTTCCAGGAAATTAATTTGCACCAAAAATGTAGACATACATGCCTGAAAGGGTTAAAAGTTAGGGCTGAAGGGTTAAATATAACCAGTATTAGTGAATCCCACCACATGATACTTTGTAGTAAACATTCCTGTCCAAAATACTGTATCATAAATGATAAACAATAAAACCTAGTCATGAAGAACATGAATATGAAAAAAATTCTCCTTTTGAGCAAGCAATTTTGTATCTTCAATAATTACTCAAAATGTTTTACATTTTTTCTCACAGTGAACTCTCCCCATATAACAAAGTAATTCAACGATCACCTGTCCCTTTGCTATTATGGGGTTTTCCTGTAACTAGGGCACAGCCCCAACAACAAAGGCAAGAAAAAGGCATGACCTCTGCAAATGAAACTGAACTTCAGAAAATGAACCTAAAATAAAGGAAAAGGTTAGCAACAAAATAAACATGCTGAAAAATTGAAACAGGCACATGCAGCAAAGCTTTCAAGTTTTTCAATTCAAAAGTAAAAAAAAAAACCGGAGGGTAGAAAGGGGCAAACTGCACCAATCCTGTACCATAAAAGCAATGCTACAAGACCAGTCTAACACCTTCACAGAACCATTGCTATACTAGAGTCATATGGTTAATGCTTGCCTTCTTAGTGCTGTTCATGAAAACCCAGAGTGGTACAACACTCCTGTCAGACACTTGGCTGACAAATACCCAAGACACAAGGTTCCTCATCCAAAAAGAGTGCATTGTCAGATCACACTGGTTCTGGGCTTACACTTTTAAAATGCAGATATGCTAGGACTGTAAAGTCAACTCAAGGCCAGAGATTTAGGCTGAGGTATTTAGGAGTCACTCTGCCCATAGCATATCCAACATGGATAGCCTCCCCATAATGAAATTTCAATTAGATGAACAAAAACATTACTTCCTCAAAAGAACCTATACTTCCAAAATGGAAAGACAGATCCCATGACATAGAAACTGACTGAGATCATGTCATGGAAGATGCACAGACACAAGAGGCTGACCACTTCCACTCAAGTCTTTGATCTTGGTTTCATTTCTTCAAAGCAGGGATGAAGGTAGATCGTGCCCTTCTTGGAAGGATTGAATAACTCGTGACCCTGCAACAATTTAGGAGCCTCTTTATCATTTGCATTCAGGAAGTAAATGGTATGATTTGATTCAGTAAGAGTTTAGGACATTACCTTCGACCAATCATAGCCGACAGCGTAGGCAAAGATCTGTCCATTTGCGTTGAAACCACAGCACACCACTGGCTGATCCAGCTGTTCTGACGTTTTCAGCTTTGTTCGTGCATCCTTGTCCCAAAAACTAAACTTCCCATCAGAGCCTACTGTTGCTAAAGTGCCATGCACTGGGTGGAATGCTATATCATTCACCTGTCAAAAGAGAATGCCAGATATGCTGTTATTCTGATGCTAAAAACTAGTTTGAATGGCAAAATCCAGATGTTGAGTTTGCCATTCTAACATTAGGGACATGCAAAGAGAAAGTAACAGTACGGCATAGATGTCCTGGTAGCCATTGACAGTTTCATTGGATCTATGACACTTGAAGGTGAAGTTATCTTTGGGATTTTGGGGGGACACATACTGGATCGCCACACGACCTTCCACACTCCCAATGGCAAAACCTGAAGCAGAAAGAACAATTATATCCTTAAAAAATTAAAGTCATGGGATGACAGCAGGCACATCAGAAGGGATCAGATAAGCTAACCGATTGGGTCTCCTTTCTTGTCACTGAAGATACTGACAGACCGATGCTGGTACTTGAGTGGGGACTCGATCTTCTTGTATTCTCGTGGCTGTGTATCCAGCTGGTAGACAATGATCCCTCTTCCAGCTGTGCTCACCACTCCCATGGGATATCTCTTCATATTAGAAAGCAAGCTATTAGAAGCAATTTTACCAGGCCTCCTAGATCCTCTTGAGAAAATAAAGAGGGCTCACAACATCAGCACAATAGCATCTCTCTGGCAGGTTGATAGTGAGGATGGGTGATGGAGATTTTGTATCCCAGAACTAGAAAAGACACAAGAATCACCCCATAACCTAAAGCTACATGAATTACATAATAAAAAGTTTATATCATAAAAGTCAGTATATGCAGACCTTGATAGTTTTATCCCATGATCCTGTCATGAGGCATGTATAGTTAGGTGCTTTGATCCAGTGACAAGACTTCACTGGTGCTTCATGCTGAGCAACTTGGACATGTTGATTGCTGCCCAAATCCCAGCACTTCACTGTTTTATCACAGGAGGCTGTGAATACCTTTGTCCCATCCTAAAAATAAAGAATCAGCTCATTTAAAAGTTACAAAAGCAAGCCTACCCTTAGCCTAATTGGACAAAAAAATCAAAGAAACATGTGTAGGACAAAGGAAACCTTCTCACATCGCTCCAACAAGCATCCAAGACAGGCCCTTGATGCATTTTCTGATCTTTTGGGACAGATGTTCCATTCTGCTGAATCTCCCAGCATCGCACCTTCAAAACAGACAAATATTGGTAACATTGAAGACCTTTGCTCTCAGCCCCTTCATATGGCTTTCTTTCATTTTGTGCCATGTGCTCAGCAAATGCAATCTATTCTCACACCAACTTAGCTATGTGCACAGCACATTTCAACAAATCCCATAGTTGGTAATTATTCCCAAAGACAGTTATTCTTATTTCAGCATCCCTGTGAACTAGAGTCCAAGAATGAGTTGGGAGTTGAAACTCCAAGCCAACCTGACCCAATTAGCTCTTCATGGAAATGAATTACCATGGATAAAGCACCTCCAGTCTAGTTGAAAACAATTATATTTCTCATGACATGGAATTGGGGTATGAGACCACTCAATGCTATAAGCCTTGCTCACACTGCCACCACAGCTATGGCACAGGGGCAAATCCTGATGGTTTTGACCCATGGGCACCCATGGGCTTGGGCACGATCTGGAGTTTTGTTCCTCTCGTATCTGACTGATAACGTTATCGAATGATGAGCAAGCCAAAGCTAATATCAGAGATTCATTCACTTGGAGGCGTCGGAAGCATGGACACCGAGAAACGGGACAAGACACGCTAGAAAGAGATTGGCATGATGGGGGAAGGAGGATGCGAGAAGCCGTCGGTCTCGACGGGTAATGACTGTCCGAGACTGCACGAAACGAAGGAATACCACGACTACACGACGTCGCAAGTCTAACGTTAGGCCTAAGTCAGATCGGAAACCGGACATCTCAACTCACGTCGTTCGCCCAACTGCCTGCGATGAGAAAGGTCTGCGGAAGGCAACCCGGGCTGAAACGAATGCACGACACCGTGTCGTCCGGGGGAGCAACCACTTCGAAGTCCTTATTCGGATTTGGGATATTCGTCCCCGGGGGAAACGTGGAACCGCCGAACATGATTCCCGGTAGGCAAAACGATCACAAGCGCACCAACATACGACCTTCGCCTAAGGTTTACCTACGACAAATCGGATTAAAAGAGCGAGACTTTTTCGAGGAAGGCTGCAATGGGCGTTACGTCATAGCAGCGTTCTACAGGGGACGCGCCATCCTGTGAAAAATGAAACACGTAACGGCAGTGATGTCGGATCGTCCGCGTCGTCTCCTACTGACCTTCAATTCTTCCTCCTTCGTCCAACCACCAATACCGAAATAAGAAAAGCAAATATTTTATATTAGACTTTCGGCTCTTAAATAAGACGCGGACCTCGAATCTGACAACTGAAAAAACGAAAAACTGCTCATCGCTGCCGATGCCGCTCGCAGTCAGCCCGCGGCTTCCGAGCCCCGAGGGCGTTTCTCCGCGAAGGTGCTCTCGACCTTGATGGTGGCCCTTAACCTTGAGGGTCTGGGGGGTGTCCCGTGTCTAGTGGTGAATCCCGGCAATGACTACGCAAGAAATAGCACGCCCTCAGCCTTCAGGTGAGCCTGTCTCCGAACTACGTTGGAAGTATGCATCTGTCCGATTCCGGAATGAATTCATTACAGGGCCAGATGAAGAAGTTGCGAGGCCCGGGGCAAATGGATTCTTGGGGCTACCCCCCCCCCCCCCTCTTTACGCAATTACTTTACGTTTTTAAGTTCCTTCGAGGGCCCCCCTGGAAGAGTGGGGCCCGGGGCAACAGCCCCCCCCCCCTTAATCCGGCCCTGATTCATTCTAATATCCCTGCCCCTTGCTGTCGTCAATAGGATTCTTTCATAAACGCATATTTTTCCTGCAGCGTCGTGTGGGAATGAAAAAACTGTGGGAATGAGGCCCACACATTAACGAGAGGAGGCGATATTTTGAAAATGCGTTTGAAATATGCACATTTTTGGGGTTACTTGCGGCTCTGCTTATTTTTGCACACACCATCACATTCTTGCAAATTTCAATCCCCATTCCACCAACGTCATATTAAAAACTTGCTCGCCAAAATCACTTCTGTTACTGTCCTATAGTTAAACAGTTATATATACCTCAAAACAAGGTCTGACACGAAAACCCACGCCGGAGGAACTTGGAAAATGCAAGTACTCCCCAGCCCACGTAAATTGTTTATTTGCGACGTGCAGAGTTGGTAGAGGCTCCATTTGCTTTCGGCGAAATATATTATATCTAGCTCCTCTCTTGTATATACCATACGACCCATGCTACCCCATGCTACCCCATGCTACGCATTGCTACCATCTTCTGTACTTTCTTCTACCGTGTCTGCACCATGCTACCCCATGCTACCCATTGCTACCATCTTTTGTAATTTCTTCTACCGTGTCTGCACCATGCTACCCCATGCTACCCATTGCTACCATCTTTTGTAATTTCTTCTACCGTGCCTGCACCATGCTACCC